TCAAACCAGAACCGCCGCAGAGATGCCTGCTGTTTGTGGTGACAGAGTTACACCGTGCGTCTGCCTGCGGAGTCCTCCTGTGGCGCCGTAAAGGCGGGGCCGCACGCCAGAGCGAAGCAACACAAGGGAGAATGGCGGGTGGGCGAGCGCTCCCATGTGCTCTGTTCTTTTCTGGAGAATTAACGGAAGCAGCAGGTCACCTCACAAAGAACTTTTTCAGAGAACAGTTGCAACAAAAGTTGAAAATGGGTGTGAGGTTGTTACTAAGTTGTACAGGGAGGTTAGTGGGGAAAAACATTTGTGCTTCTCAAAAACCAGGTTTCGCACAACAGCAGGCACGGAGGCTGTGCTTGCAGCAGGAGAGAAGAGAAGAGGAGGCTCAGTAAAGGCTGGTCTTCTTCATGATGCGCAGGAACTCCTGCTCGTTGACCACCCCGTCGCCGTCCCGGTCGGCCTCGTCGATCATTTCCTGCAGCTCCTCGTCGGTGAGGTTCTCGCCCAGCTCCTTGGCCACGCGCTTGAGGTTGTTGAACGATATGGTCCCCGTCTCGTCGTCGTCGAAGAGCTTGAAGGCCTTCAGGATTTCTTCTTTGGTGTCCTTCTCGCACATTTTTTGCGTCATCACCGTCAGGAAGTCGTTGAAGTTCATCTTCCCGGTCCCCTCCTTGTCGATGTCACCGATCATTTTCTTAATCTCTTCTTTCTTGGGTTCAAAGCCCAGGGCTCTCATCGCCACCTTCAGCTCCTTGACGTCAATGGTCCCCGTTGCGTCCGTGTCGAAGAGGTCGAACGCCTGCCGGATCTCCTGGATCTGCTCCTTGGTCAGCTCCGGCTTGGGACTCGCCCTCTTGCGCTGGGAGGACGCCGCTGCCATGTCTGCCTTCTGAAAGCGAGAGGCCGCTGGGGAGCCCGAGTCTGCTCTGCCCTGGAACAGGTGGCCGAGGGGGCCAGGGAGGCGGGAGAGGCGGGTTAGGGGAGCCAGCCGCGAGGCCCAGGCCCAGCAAGGAGGCTGCGTCTCTTCGGGCCCCTGGGGGAAAGGTAACAGGAGGGAGGGGTGTGCCCAAGCCGAGAACCCGCGGGAAGGACTGAGGGGCGGCCTAGACCTGGGAAGGGCTCAGCCTCTGGGAAAGGGCGAGACAGAGGCAGGGGGACGCTTTGACCCACTGGTACTTACTGGGCACCTGCTGTGAACCCAGGGTGCACGGGGCCCCCAGGCCCGAGGAGGGAACCTCCCCAGGCGGGTGATGCCCAGAGGACTCAGCAGAGAGCCATCCTCTTGGCCACATGGCCTCCCCGCCAGGCTCCTGGGACGCCCCCCCCCCAGCCCAGCACACCTGTCCTGGGTCCTCCCCCAGCTCAGCAGACCCGTCCTGGGTCCTCCCCCAGCTCAGCACACCCGTCCTGGGTCCTCCCCCAGCCCAGCAGACCCCTCCTGGGTCCTCCCCCAGCTCAGCACACCCGTCCTGGGTCCTCCCCCAGCTCAGCACACCCGTCCTGGGTCCTCCCCCAGCCCAGCAGACCCCTCCTGGGTCCTCCCCCAGCTCAGCAGACCCCTCCTGGGTCCTCCCCCAGCTCAGCAAACCCGTCCTGGGTCCCCCCCCCAGCCCAGCAGACCCCTCCTGGGTCCTCCCCCAGCCCAGCAGACCCGTTCTGGGTCCTCCCCCAACTCAACAAAACCGTTCTGGGTCCTTCCCCCAGCCCAAAAGACCCGTCCTGGGACCTCCCCCCAGCTCAGCAAAACCGTCCTGGGTCCTTCCCCCAGCTCCCCCCCTTCTTCCTGAAGTAACGGCAGTGGTCCAAGGGGACTGGATGGGGAAACTGAGTGTGGGGGGGCTGGCGGGGGGTTGGACTTGGGGGGATCCTGGAAAAGAACTTCCCCTCCCCCCTTTCCGAGGAACGACCGTTGGTGGAGCGCCTTCCCCAGTAGCCAA